CTTCTGGCAAATGTTCAGAGATGATAATTCTTGAACTTAAGATACAAATTACATGTAAGTCAAAAATAAAAGGGCTTCAAGTCTGTTTATTTATTGTGAATTATTTTTTTTGGGGGGGGGGTAAAAATTGGAGGACCACAAATTGTCAAAAATGAAATCATATATATCTCAGAAAATATCAAGCAAAGGGCTTTCAAAAACAGATCACCATACATTCTCTTACTTGGATTTCAAACACACTACATTGCTCTCAGCTGTTGCATGCTATTTCTTTTTCTGTCATAATTTAATTAGCATGGCGCCTGCGTTTGTTTTACTGATACATTATTCCAGCCACAGCTGAAACGCTTTAGCTCAAATGATTCCCCTGATTGGCAGTGTCAGAGCATGGTCAGAGTGTCATTACATATCTGTTGCAGTGTTTGTTTACATCGTCCTGCCACTGCTACAATAACAAATCCTCAGTCCAATATACAACTTCCGCCCAGTCTAGTATTTACCACAGACCAGAATTCTTAAACACTGCGGGCCATCTGTAGCCCAGTTTGTTTGATAGTGTTTGTTTAATTATCCAAGCCTTGTCATATTCTGCCTCAGCGACACTGTAAAACACTGATCCGAAGTGATTGCTCAGTAATAAATGGAATACACTTGAAGATGAAATCTGAACAAAGAAATTGACTGGAGTGGGGATTGGACCTGCGACCTTTGGATTACCGTTCTCGTGCTCTTCCAACTGAGCTATCCAACCCTATGTTGGATGGAGATACGTGCTTTATTGTATATTTATTTGTTTCGACAACATCCAACAGCACAAGTGCCAGAACGGGATGGATGAGACTTGGTGGAAGATGTGGAAGGAAGTTCCATTTTTTGATGCGGGAGGAAAAATCCCAAAATGATATGCTAGGGAAATGATGGCCCAGGCGGGATTCAAACCCGGGTCACAGCGATGGAAGACCAGAAAAGTACTGCTACGCCAACCTGATCACAATCCCCCCCCCCCCCCCCATTAGCAACCCATTCACCAAAAAATAGACCTCTGATCACATTGATGTACTATCATTCTTAGGTATGCCAAATTGACCAGGTAAAAATTCACAAGGCAGTAAGTTTTTTTTTTTTTGGTTGCAGATTTTGTTTTGAGCTGTTTGGGGGGGGGGGGGGCCTTGTTCGTTACTGGCTTGCAATTCTGTGGTTTTGGAAAACAAACAAAAAGTAGGCTGTTCAATGGAATTACAGTGATGGGGCTCTAAGTCTTAAAGTCATTAAGGTTGCTCATAAAAAATCAATTTGAAATCACTTTAGATATTTCAATAGACCGAGTCTGGAACAAATTTGACGTCCCAGGAAATTCACTTCAAACTGCGTCAAATCTGCTACACTCCTCTTTCCATCATATTGAATCACCCCGGCGGCGCCTCAAAGAAACGAAGGAATTAAAAATAGCGGCCTTGATTATTTCTCCTCCCTTACGTGCTGCCATATTTAGAAATGAAAATCTAAATTATTTTTGTGTCACTTTCTGGACGTCTCATCCATCAAACAATTACTGTGTTTAGTTCCTCCAGAAGAGGACGCGGAAATTGCCAAATTATCCCTTGATCATAGTCGTCATCTCCCGATAAGCAGTTGGTGCATTTGGGGGGGAATTTGGCTTAATTCGTCACTCGAGGCAATCTTGGCAAAATGAAAAACAGAAATTCTCCTCTCTTCAAGATTCTCGCTTGTCCGTTTTGGCTTGCTGATTGGTAGCAGTGGGCCTCGGGTGTGAACATTCTACTGTCTGATAAAAAGGTTTGCCATAAGGGAGGATTTTATTTTAACCTTGAAAATGTTCAAGCCTGACAGAAAAAGCTATTCAGACTGTTATTCTCTTCTTGTCCAAGAAAGTTATTTCTACTTCGTTTTTTGGTGTCTTGTGCATCTCTGAAAATGTAGAAAATAAGAAAAAGGTTCTCAAGTAAAGACAAGATGATTATTTCTTTTATACAGCTCTAAACAGACACACATAAATTGTGCTCAACCAAAATGTGTGAGTCAAGCCATGAAGGAATCCAAAAAAAATACATCCAGGCACGAGCATTTCAGAACATCAGGGTGTAGTCATAGAATTGTGGACATTGGTTTACTACACATGCCAACTTTTCTTCCACAATTGAAGACAAAAAGTCAACAAACTTTAATAAGACTACAGAGTTTTGAAGAAAATTGAAAGGAAAAGGTCAACAAATTTTAATGAGACCATAGACTATTTCCTCTTTAAACTTTTGAAGAAAATTGAAAGAAAACAGTCAACAAAATTAATTAAGACTACATGTATATGCCTTTCCCCCTTTAAATTTGTAAACTTCCTTTCACTTCCCAACCTGGCCCTAAGGTCATTGACCTCTTACCACTCTTGTTTATCAGCGATACCACACAAAGAATCCCACAACAGTGGAGTTATGCACACACTGACAAGCGAAACCACTAATGATGGTCTCAGGTGGATTACCTCTGATGATGTCATCACAGCCATCACCCAATCATCAGGCTGCTAATGAGCATCCTCCGATGAAATTACAAAAACAGCTTTAGGGCTGGGAGTGTAGAAACAAGAACAGATTCGGGTCGTTGCAGGAAAAAACGTGGGTGGCTGTATCTTGTTCATAAAGAAAAAAACCTTGACTTTTTGTGACAGCTTTGAGTTTCTGGGAGGCGAATTTCTTAGAACACTCAAATCTTTATTATCCACAACTTCTTGTTTTGAGGAGATTTGCGGTCAGGGGCTCAGGTTAAGTATGGTAAAATGATCTTCATGTTCTGGACCTGCCCCAGTTTTCTCTGATTTGTGGGCAATTTCAGGAAGGTGTGAGACTTAAATTGGAGAAGGATTGTAGATGTCCTGGGCCAATAAATTTCTTTCAGTAGTGATTCGGGAATTGGCTGAAATCCAAAAAAAAAAAAAAAAAACGTGCTTGCCTCGCAATCTGAAAACTTCCAAGTGACAGCCATTTGCCTGAGCCAGTGCATGCTGTAAATCTGCTTTTCTGCGATACCATGTTGAAATTCAATCAAGGATAGGAAGATGATTTCCATGATCAATCTTGTATGAATTTTGATAAGTAAAATAAGGGCCAACGAAATCTTATGCCATTGTTTAGACTTCATATTCAATTATTTTTGCAAAGGAAAGTTGATTTGATTCCTGCTCTTTCCTTATATTTCCACCCCGACACTAGCCTGTTATCCTATCCCTGTCCTACACTGACCTCTGCCCCAGCCCTTTGCCCCCCCCCCCCCTCCCCGCCACTTTGGCCCCCCTCCCCACCCCTTGCCCCCTCCCCACCCTTTCTCCCTACCCTCCGCTACCCCCTATACCCCTACCCCCATGGACGACTTCGGAGCTATGGCTGCACCTTTTGGGTCCTTGTTTGGGTTTGTTTTGTGGTCTGTGAAAGTAAATTGTTGCTTTGAATCCACTTGGCATTGAATCATCAAGCTCTTTAGATTTGTATCGGAGAGTATTGTTCACTCGTGAAATGAAATAATTCAGCAAATGTGATGTGGTTGACTGTATCATCAATCTCCTGCCTCCATCAAACCCTGGCTCCGCCCCTTTTTCTGTGCCCATCTCCTATCTCCTCCACTCTTAAACAAAATGGTCTTTCATCAAGATATAGTTTCTCACTACCCACCCCCTCCCAACTCTTCCCTTCAATTTTAATTAAAGGATGCCGTCCCTGTTTTGTTTTGAAATAATTTAGCCAATGTGACGTGATTGACTGTATCATCAATCTCCCGCCTCCATCAAACCCTGGCTCCGCCCCTTTTTCTGTGCCCATCTCCTCTCTCCTCCACTCTTAAGCAAAATGGTCTTTCATCAAGATATAAGTATCTCACTACCCACCCCCCTCCAACTCTCCCCTAAAAAACCTTTTAATTAAAGGATGCCGTCCCTGTTTTGTTTTCCTAACGTCTCGCCGCCAGATCAATAGTCTGGAGCCGAGACGGCGCGGTAGACGTCAGGTCCACCGCTTCCCCAGTAGATCATGGTCACGGGGAGGCGTGGGGTCAGTCCTTGGAGGCTGAGCAGTATTTAATCAAGAGGAGGATCGATATTGGAAGAAAAATAAATCGGAAGACTTTACATCAGTGATTGCATCCTTGATGCTTCTTGATTTGGGCGGTTCGTCAGATGTACCCAAAAAAAAAAAAAAAAATGGCAAAACCCTCCCAAAATCTACCATTTTTGAGGATTAATTAATGAGGCATAGTCCAGCCAGTGTTGCTTTAATTTGACCAGGCTTGATGCCTTTTAAAAATATCCCCCCCCCCAAAAAAAAGAGTTGAATTCGGTTCCTTCACAGTGGTGAATTTTTGAAGGATTTGGGAAGTTTCTCAGTAAACTTGTAAAGGGAGTTAGGGTTAATTCTGTGTAGTATTGTCAGAGATTCTCCTTGATACAACCATAAGATACAACTAATAGAAACTTATAGTACCCTTGAAGATTTATCTCCCCAAAAAAGAAGAAATGGATGCCACAAAACGTTTGTTTTTAGTGTGCATTCTGTCCTCGGGCTGCATGACTTGTTATGGGTTGACTTAATTTAAGATCTAGTTTGTCAAAAGTGGTCTTGGTCTAGAATCATCACATTGAGATTTCTGAAGAGGAGGGTGAAAGTAGTGTGAGTCGATGCCACCCCTGCGGTAGTTTGGACTAGTCCTGTGGCTGGCACCCCGTGAGCTGGTTAACCAGACTGCCTCATCACGGCCACAATCCCACCTTAATGTCTGTGTGAATTCTTTGTGTGGCTCCCCCCCCCCCCCCCTGCCGTTCATGTGTGGCTCAGCGGAGTGTGTGTGTGTGTTGAAATGTCGGCACGGTCAGTCACACTAGCAGACATCCCTCCTTGCACAGTCGGCACAATCGTCCTCATCAACCGTCATCATTTCCCGACGTCCACGGATGCGTGTCGCCCGAGCCTCGGTCACACTCTTGTAGTTTTGGGGAGAGGAGGAGCCTCGCGGAGGAAATTGCTGCCGTTTTAAATCGCTAAAGGAATTATATCTCCGGCTGGGAGTTTTGTGACGAGATCATCAAACGTGGCTGAGTGTAGTATGAAGGGGCTGGTCACCAAGAACAAGGTATTATTACTCGGAGCGTGAAAAGCCTGTAAATTTTCCAAAAGCGGATGTAGTTAATACTTGTTTCCAGTGACATTTTTATTGCCACATCACACTTGGTGGTTTTAGGGTGTTTTATTGTTATGGCCCTGAAGTGAAGACAGGGCAGATTTTTTCAAGACTTTTAGGGAGTTTGCAGAGTATCAATCTACACTGTAGTTGAAGGTGAAACCATGGTGAAACAGAGAAGTATCAGCTGGAATATAGGAATTAAGTAACTTTGTCGGACATTGAAAATGGTTGGACTGTCCAAAAGCATTTTGCACAATTACATTAATCTTAGTTTTTATTTGTCTGAAAGTAAAGAGCTTCACATGTGCCAAATAGCGTTAAATTTAATGTTTGAAAGTGCCCCCTGTTTAAGCGCAATCTATAAATTTGTGTGATCGTGTTAATGGAGCGCATGAATTGAAGATGCAGTCTAACGAGGGTTTAATGAGATAATGGCAGCCCAGTGGCATGCCATCAAAGTCAGCAATCAGTTGTAATTGATGGATTAATTAGGTTGTAGAGAGTTGTAAAAGGGAAACGTAATTTGTAGTAGCTGTAGAACTGTAACTTGTGTTGACTTTTATTGGAGTTGGTAAAAGCTGAAGCAACTAAGCGTGTACTATATTTTGTTTGTTGGTGTTTGATAGCATCGTTTGCAGATTGTAAAACATCTGGGCTTTGAAGACTGGTGTATTTGATACCATCTGTTAAAACTGTTTGATCATAATTTTGTTTTTAAAGAGGTGCTAAAAGATTTGTAGTCATTTATAAGATGGTCTCAAGACAGTCACAAGTCTTGTCACAAGTCAGTTTGTAAGTCAAATCACAAGTCAATCAAAAGTCATCGGGGAAGTTTGATGTCAAAGGAATGTCTTTTGCACAGGTCATTTGAATACATGTAACTTTTCCCTTGACTTCACTGGTTGACTTGCATTTGAATGGTGAGGACTTGTGATTGACTTGTGCTGTTGTGACAGACTTGCGATTGACTTGTTTTTGTGCAGGAGTTGTGACATACTTGTGATGGACTTGTGCAGGAGTTGTGACATACTTGTGATGGACTTGTGCTGGAGTTGTTACCGACTTGTGATGGACTTGTGCTGGAGTTGTGACCGACTTGTGATGGACTTGTGACAGACTTGTGACGGACTTGTGATGTAGTTGTGACAGACTTGTGATTGACTTGTGAAGGATTCTATTCAAAACAAAGAGATAATTGTGTATCACACAGAGTAAGAGAAGTTTGTTGCATATTTTTCTTGCCTTTGAAAAATCCTTGTTCATCCAATGATATTGCTAAACTTAATTTTGCCCAGTTATGTGATAACTGTGGTATTATGTCATACCCTGATCCCTCCAAAGGAACTACTTAATAGTACTATTATTATCATAAACTACAAGACTTCTACCGGTATTAACCCGTCCATCATGCCTTTTGATGGCATCATGTGCCATTCACCAAAATCCTTGGAACAAATTGGTCAATTAAACAACTTGGTGGACCTTGCCAGCAGGTGATTTAAAGCCAAAAATCAACTAGTAGAATCCATTCATTCAAGGTTCATTTGCGCTTTTTTTTGTATCCTTCGGGCCAAATGTCCGGGTGTTGAAATGTCAGTTAGTTGGTGGCATTGTTGTGAAATTTATTTGTGGCCACTCAGATTTGATGTCTTGTTTGTCTCTGGCTGTGGTTGGCATTTGAGACCATGGTGGTCAACGACTCCCTAAAATAAAAAAATAAAATACCACACAAGTGAGTGGACATTTGCTGCTCTGGTTTAAGTGTGGACAGAAGTCAATGAACTTTGCAGAGAGTGCTTGGTAGTGGATCCAGAGGGGGGTGCCCTCCCCCTCCCCTTTCAGTAAATGATGGATCCGCCTCTGGTGCTTATAGTCAGTAATTAGGTGATGCCTTGTTAGGCCAAAAAAAAAATAAGTCGGTCTCTGGTCAGCGCGTGCGTCGATTTTAATCATGCGCGTCAATCTTTTTTTTTTCCAAAATGTTCCGCGGTAGCTCCAACAGCGCCCTCTATTGCCGCACCTGCTCAATTTTTTTTTACCAAAGAGCACCAAGAAATGGGAAATTGCACCAAGGCAAATGATCGAGAGCACCAAGGCAAATTATGGAGGACACCAATGTACATGAGGATACCAAAAAAGCCAAATAGTACCCCACCTTGTCTGTACAATCCAAGCTTGAAGAAAAAAAAAAAAAAAGCCGCGTCCCCGCGTCAATTCCGGAACGTTGGTCTAACCAGAGACCGAATAATTTTTTGGGGGGGCCTTACAGGCATGCAATTTTTCTCGGATCCGCTGATTTCCTCGTTTTTTTATTTCACTTGAATACCATTACAATTTGAGAAATACTGGACAAAGTCTTGTGTAGTTTGGACATGGAGGCAGGAACCCTTCCTCCGTGGTTTCCTCATTGTTTCTAAATTCCCAGTTGCATGCCTGCTTGTTGACCAAAAATGTGAAACAAAGGACATTTATAAATCACTTCAATGGACTTGGTTGGGCCATGGTTGGGCACGTGGGCCTTCAACCAATTACCAAACAAACTGTTTTTCAACAGTCATGCAGTGTGAGTCATTTTTTTTTATCACAGTTGAATTGCCCTTGGGGCACTGGTGAAATGTTCCTTCTTTTTGCAAGCATTTTGGGGCCTTTTAACCTGCAGTGTGAGTCATTTTTTGTCACAATTGAATTGCCCTTGGGTAACTGGTGAAATGTTCCTTCTTTTTGCAAGCATTTTGGGGACCGTTAACCTTACATTCCATAACACTGGAGTCATGTGTGACAGTGACAAGATTGGTTCAATCGTTGGCATCTGTCCAGTTGAGTAATTCAGCTTCTCAAAAATATGTCAAAACAACAGTGTGATTATTTATGTTCTTACTACATGTACATGTTGGTGTAGTCCCAAAATTGTTTGTGCAACACTGTTTGTTAGCTTGGCCAGGTCTATCAGTCTGCAGTTACACACACACAAATATTTAAAGAAACAAATTGAATGGTACTTTCTTAAATTGAAAGAATAATTCCGTTTGCAGCGAGAATCCCCCACAAATTGTATCAACGCATGACCTTGAGCCTAGATGGCTCTCACTCTATCAAAAAACCCAACAACTAGTAACAAGTCTGTACATCATCAATGACTTTGCTTTAAAAATCTCATTTAGCAGGTTACTTAAACTTAAAAAAAAAATTGAAAAGATACTAGGTAACATATCAGGTAGATCTGTGTTTTTATGGGAGTGGTATAGATTTCTAAGGCACATTGGATAGCCAGATGAGCCACAGACATTATTCCCATTGAACTACCATTCTCCATAATAGTTCAGTGTACGACATACGTGGAATCTTGGCAACTTTGAACCAGTTGGGCACAGATGATACCCAGCATAAAAAGAAGAGCGATCATGTTGTCATCCTTGATTCAAGGACACTCCCTTTGACATTAATAATTTCTGGCCTTCGCTCTTCCCTTTCAGCCTCTGGTCTTTTGGAATCCGCCGGTGATCCGCCACAATGATCAGTCTGTCTTCGAAGTCCATCTAAAAATATAACCAGGCATTTTCTCTGGTTTGAATTATGGCCGACGTGGATCCCGTTGCTGACACCAAGCAATTGAAAAAAATCCCCTCTAAAATCCCTAATTCTTTGAATTCCAGACCGAATTTTTTTTGGACTTTTTATCCCCGCCCCAGGGCTCAATCGTTTCACAGATTTGCGCCATCTATGACATTTGGCATTCCAAATCCATTAATGGCTAACCAAAAATAAAAAGTTTTTTTTTTAAAAAAAAATCCTTAAACCTTGCCTTGAGGAGTTGAGATATCTTTACTTCAAACCCAATTAGATTTTGTTCGTCTGTCCACATGGATTCTCAAGGAATTTAACCCAAGTTTTGAAAGCGAAAGCTGTGGAATTGTGGTAGCTTTTTATGAGCATCTTACTTAAACCCAGAGCTTTGCCGAGAACCAAGAGCTTTGCCGAGACCTTTTCAAGAAAATTCTTTTAAACTAAACTGTTATTAGATTTTGTCTTCTAAATGAGCGTTTTGGCTTGTTGATTTAGGGAATATTGAATCTTTGTTAACCCCTCCTTAAAAAAAAAAGTTCTCACTGTATGCTACTGCCCCTACCCTGCCCCTGCCTGATGGCTCTCATATGGAAACATGCTGTACTATGTTGTGCGGTAACAATGTAATTTTTCTTATCACTACTGGAAATTCTTTGCAAGCCCGGCAATTTGATTTGTGTGTTCATACTATTTATTTCATTTGGTAACAGAATGTAAGTTGTAACCTAATTACATGTCTAGTTCTACCTCCATGGTCATATCTAGGGTCATCTGTGAACCTTTTGCCAGCTGTAAAGTTACATGCCAGGAATGAGTTGAAATAACTTCTGCTGTTTCTATTGGTGACGTACTTTTGGATTGTACATTGCATACATGAAGGCCTACATTGAACACCAAGTGTAAATTTCTAATGTTCATGTACATGTTCACAAACATTGACATTGGTGGAACTTTCTTTGGCTGTTTTGGGGCGATGGTGGTGGTGGGGGGGGGAACCCAGGTACTGCATCAGTTTGACTGCAGAGCCACTGGAAAACACTTTAGTCCACCACAAGCAAAGCAAAGCAGGCACGAACCCCTCAAATGGAAACTCCCCAAGAAAATGTTACCAAATTGGAACTTGTACAACTTTTGGGCAGCTTTTTGGGGGACAAGTTGTCATCTTTTTGAGGATGGCCCATCATCCTTGCTCCCTCCTTAGGCCCCTGTTCACAAACCTCGTCTTAGAGAAATGCTTTGTTAATAACATTACTCAATCTCAGAACTCTGTCTGCAGTGTTAGAATCAATTTTTAGAATGGAGGATTTTCCCCCCAATTTTCAACCATCACAGATTACAATTCTAATACATGTAGTTTACAAATCTGATTACAGATTACAACTTGC